GCTGACAATTGGCAAATAACACTAACACCACATATGCCAGGCAATGACAATCTCCAACAAGACAGAATCTAATCATCGCCCCACAACAACCAATGGTACTACCACTGCAGAATCCCCCACTATCAAAATTGTGGAAGCTACCATTTAGCCTTATATATGTACTGCGGTCACAAGAGCAAGCAAGAGGCTGGGAATGCTGCAGCAACTCACCTTTTGATTGCCCACAGCCTGTCCACCATCTACAAGATACATGTCAGGAGTGTGATGGAAAGCTCCCCACATTCCTGGATGACTGCAGCCCTAACAACACTCACTTGACACCATCCATGACAAAACAGCCCTCCCGAGCGGCATCACATTCACAAAGATCAACTCCCTCCGCCACCACAGATGCTCAGTAGCAGCAGTGTACAACACCCACAAACTGCACTGCACACATTCACAGACACCCTCCAGCTAGCACCTTCTGAACCCATGAGAACTACAATGTTAAAGGACACAGACAGCAGATACGTGGAAACAGCACCACCTGCAAGCTCCCCTCACCCAAGCTACTGTCCATCCTGACCTGAAAATACATTGCCATTCCCTCATGGTTGCTGGGTCACTGATTCATGCTGTCTCAAAGCAGTACTGTCTCACAGTTCTACTTCACTCTCAGACCTGTTCAACGTTCTAACAAGAAACTTTTTCTCTTCCTTTCAGGAATTAAAAAAAACACAAGCTGCAATAACTCAGAGATATCCACATCCCTCTTCTTCCCTTCCCTTTCCCTCTGACTCCTTTCTTTCTTCTAACCCTACCGCCTGTCGAATATTTGCTATCTCTTTTGATCTTCCACTCTCTGATGCTGAACGTTCTATACTTAGCAAAGGTTTTAGTTTTATCCTTCGCACCACAATGAATTTCAGGCAAGACATGACATTGAACTCTTCTTCCTCTTCTTCCACCTCCATGCCCATTTGTTTGGTTAGGAGTGCTCTCCCCATCCCATAGACACCTTCACCCACTTCCAATACAGTACCTCCACCTTAAACCCTCCCTCTGGTCTTTTACCTTGACTGATCATTGTGTACGTGATATCGGTTGGCTTAGGTTCTCTGTTCCCTCACCCATATGAACCGATCTCCCTCTGAACTGGCCACACTCTGTGCTGTCACATTCAATCCTGTCTTTATCATCAAGCCTTCCAACAAGGGTGGTGCTGTTGTTATTGTTTGGCGTACTGACCTCGAGATGACACAAGTTGAGCCCAGCTCTCAGATACCACCTCCTATCTCTCCTGGACCATGACACCACCATCGAGCATCAGGCTATTGTGTCCTCGACTCTTACCAACATCGCCTCATCTGGGGATCTCCTGCCAAAAGCCTCCCGGCTCATAGAATCCCCCACTCTGTACAGCCTGATTCTACCTTCTCGCCAAAATCCACAAAGCAGAATTGCCTGGGCAGACCCATTGTTTCTGTCTGCTCCTAGCACATGGACCTTATTTCTTCCTATCTTTACTTAACTTTTTTCTCTCCTTATCCAATTCCTCTCCACTTACATCCACTGCAGGTACAACAAGTAATTAGGAAGGCAAATGGAATTTTGTCCTTCATTGCTAAAGGGATTGAAATAAAAAGCAGAGAGGTTATGTTGCAGCTGTACAAGGTGCTGGTGAGGCCACACCTGGAGTACTGTGTGCAGTTTTGGTCTCCTTACTTGAGAAAGGATGTACTGGCACTGGAGGGGGTGCAAAGGAGGTTCACTAGGTTGATTCCGGAGTTGAGGGGGTTGGCTTATGAGGACAGACTGAGTAGATTGGGATTATATTCATTGGAATTCAGAAGATTGAGGGGGGATCTTATAGAAACATATAAAATTATGAAGGGAATAGATAAGATAGAAGTAGAGAGGATGTTTCCACTAGCAGGTGAAGCTAGGACAAGAGGGCATAGCCTCAAGATTAGAGGGAGCAGACTTAGGACTGAACTAAGAAGGAATTTCTTCACCCAGAGGGTTGTTAATCTATGGAATTCCTTGCCCAGTGAAGTAGTTGACGCTACTTCAGTAAACGCTTTTAAAAAAAAGGTGGATTTTTTTTGAACAATAAAGGAATTAAGGGATACTGTGAGAACGCGGGTAAGTGGATCTGAGTCCACGAAAGGATCAGCCATGATCTTATTGAATGGCGGAGCAGGCTCGAAGGGCCAGACGGCCTACTCCTGCTCCTAGTTCTTGTGTTCTATGTTTCTGACACTTCATGTCAGTTTCAACATTTCCAGTTTATGGGCTCTAGCTGCCTCTTCTTTACACGTCCATGCCACATCAGATTGGTCTTAGGGCTCTCCACTTCTTCCCAAAAGAAGGCCTGAACTATTCCATTCACTACCACCCTCCTCTGCCTGGCTGAGCTTGTCCTCACTTTGAGAAACTTTTCCTTTAACTCCTGTCACTTTATTCAGATCAATGGTGTCACTATGGCAACAGGCTGCAATGATGTTAGAGACTGATCTTTCATCCCTGCCTACTTTTAATCTTTATATATGCATTTTAGCTGAAAATGTTATCTCTTTTACTGCCGCTACCTTAAGCACTGTAATAAACAAACCTTTATCTTGTGACAAAGTTGAAGATCGAGGTACTCGCTGAAAGAATAACGCCAGAGGATTCCATAGTTTTGGACAAACAGAAGTGAACTGACTATATAAAGCTCAAACAGTATTACAGTCTACTGTATTATTCATCTGACAAAGGGGCAGTTTTCTGAAAGCTTGTGATTTCAAATAAACCTGTTGGACTATAACTTGGTGTTGTGTGACTTCTGACTTTGTCCATCCCAGTCCAACACCGGCACCTCCACATCATACTATATTATTCACAATTTATATTCTGACAGCCAGAATTAACATGTGACTAATATATCTAACAAAAAAACTGGGTAAGTATTCCACAAAGCATATCAAGTAGCAGATGTTGTCAAGGTAGATTTCCCAACAATGATAAGAGATGTCTGTGTCTGTGACAGTGTGGATTGTCAAATCTGATTAAACTTTACAATAAACTTCAATTTGCCATACGGCAACTATCACCAAGAACATAAGAATAGATTGAATTTTCAAATTCAATAAAACAAATTACTATGTTAAAAATTAAACTCTGTTCAATCTACAAAGTGTGCTTTGTTGATGCCCGCAGAACCAGATACGTTTGCAACATGGAGAAATGGAACTCTCTTATGCTTACATTAAAAGGAAAAAGCTGGACCTAAAAGGTGAAAGACTTTTACTACGTTCACAGCACTGAAATGACCTTAACAAACAGCCGTTAAGAATATTAAATGGCTTTCGCTATTGAATGAAGAGGAAGAACTAAGAACAGAAATAAGGTAAGAGTAGCAAAGGCAAAGGAAAGCTACATTGAAAATGCTGGGGAGAAAGTATAACTTGAATGATTAAAAAAATAAACAAGATGTGAGAATGGTCAGATATAGAGAAAAAGGGAAGACTCTGATGGATTGTGTCTGAGATGGCAATTATTATTTTGTTTGTGTCAACAAATATGTTAAAATGTGGAGAAGCTCAGGGCTTTTGGTAATTTTGAAAATTTTGGGTCAGCAGGGGCAATTGGAGCAAAGTGGTGAAGCAAAAAAAAGGAGGCTGACACAGATCATGGTAAAGTGAAAACGAAAGAACTGCGAATGCTGTAATTCAGGAACAAAAACAGAAGTTGCTGGAAAAGCTCAGCAGGTCTGGCAGCATCTATGAAGAAAAAATCAGAGTTAACATTCCGGTCCAGTGACCCTTCCTCAGAACTCATGGTAAAGTGACTGAAAAGCAATGATAGGTATTTCTTAAACTCATTGAACTGCGAAATACTTCAGATGCATGTGCAATCAATATCTGTCATTTCATTGTTGCTACCAACTACTGGTACCAAAGTAGTGCTGTTCCTCACACATCTGCCAGGGTTCACAATTAAAACATAAAAGGAACAAGAAAACTCAGCAGCTCACGTACTTCCTTCACAACTATGCTACCACGTAAAATGGATGGTAGTGAATCACAGCCTATTTTACATTTTTCTCAGTTTTCATTTTCATTGAAAACAATAATTGAAGATTGTACTGGAACGAATCTTTACAGTTTTGTATTTTTAAAGTTACTTCTTTCAAGTATACACTCTTTAACCCAACTATCACAGTTTCTGTTGTGACTAAGCTAAGTGAACATCCCTGGAGCAAAATTCACAAGTATTTACATAGAAGAGGGATTTTAATACCAGGGGGGCACATTTTAAGATGAGAGGAGAAAGATATAAAACATGATATTGGGGACAAAATTTTAATACAGGGGTTTGCCTGTGGAATGAACTTCCCGAGGAAGTGATGGATGTGGGTACAATTACAATATTTACAAGACATTTGGATAAGTACATGAATAGGAAAGATTTGTGGGGATATGGACCAGGAGCAGGCAGGTGGGACTACTTTAGTTTGGGATTATGTTAGGCATAGACTGGTTGGACCCAAGGGTTTGTTTCCGTGCCGTATGACTTTAAATGGGGAGGATAAAGCGATGGGGCTGAGAAGATTGAGTGGTTCCTATGGTTACCGCTGTGCTGTGCATTATAGTATATAACTCAAACTTTATGAGTAAAAGATCATTTTTCTAGTCTGCCTTTTAAACAAGGCCTACCGTATTGGGTTGGCTTTAATATAAAGAATGCAAAGAAAATAATAGTCAAATATTGAAGGAAGGAAGCAATATTACGAGCGCAATATGTTGCCCATTTCCAAAATTCGATCGCAGCGTTCTAAGCAGTATCTAGCGCCTCCCCGCGTCCAACTTGCATTCCGCAGTCATTTTTTTTATTCCAAGTTACAAACTTCACAAAGTCTTGAGAATATCAGTTAATATATGACGATACGAACGTCGGGAGGTTATTTCATTTGAACCATGTTCCAAAGGCTTCAATAACAATTCCGCGCAGTTTAATTCCAAACTGGGGCACGTCTAAACGGAATTGTGCAGCCACACCCAGGGAAAGGCGATGCAGTGACCCTCCCAGGGCGTTGGTTGGAGAATTAAAAATCTCACATCACAGACTGGAGTTTAAACCGGGACTCAGGTCAGCCATCAGGCTGGGATCTCAGCCCCGGGCACTGGGGATTCCGGAAGGGCCGAAATCAGGCCGGGTATTGGGGGTCACTGCGCTTAGGGATCAGGCCGGGTATTGGGGGTCACTGCGCTTAGGGATCAGGCCGGGTATTGGGGGTCACTGCGCTTAGGGATCAGGCCGGGTATTGGGGGTCACTGCGCTTAGGGATCAGGCCGGGTATTGGGGTCACTGCGCTTAGGGATCAGGCCGGGTATTGGGGTCATTGGGGCTGGGGAATCGGGCCGGGTGTTGGGGTCACTGGGGGTGGGGAATCGGG